ACTGTGGGAATGAGCTTACAACCAGAGGCAGCAGGTAGATAGGGATCCTAAGGAGCAGTGGTGCAATTTAGGATTTCAATAAACCATTCACTTTGGAGGGTCTTTTTGTTTCTTAGTTTTTGATTTATTGGTAAGCCTTAGGTACTTTAATAGCAGGGAAAAGAAAAAGCAAAAAAAAATAAGGGTTTGTTTCTAATAATTAGGAGTACTCATTTTCAAACTCTATTATATACTGTTTAAAGGTACTCTGTGTTCAGTTTGGTAGTGCACAGCTGTCTTTAAGAAAAAAAAAACAAAACAAAACAAAACATTGCATTGTACCTTATGTAAATTTCGGAAATCCACTTTTATTTAAAACACAAATTGACTGTCAATGGATAGGAATGTTCTCCATTTACAGAAATTGAATCTTTCTTGGCATTTAAAGAAGTGTTCTTCTTTTGTCATTTCCATGTGCCTTTGTGCTTTGGTTCTAGCCAGCTGCTAGAAAGCTGAAGTGTTGCCAAAGAGCATATTTTAGCTTTATTTCTGGCCTGCACAGATTTAGGAAATACCAGCAGTTGCACTAAGTCCGTTCTCATGAGAGAGCTAGCACAAGTTTGCAAATCAAAGAGCTTATAATAAGCATCCAAACATTTGTTTGTTTATTCAAACTGCTAAAGCTTTGGAGATTTATTCATCACGGGAGCTGGGTCACACACTGGTAAATTGAAACTTCCTCCTTATCTCTAATGGAAAGCCTGGACAACTTGAGCATCGTGTCAGACAAAGAAATCAGAGATTGTGCTGTAGCTGCTTCTACTGTGTCTGAAGAGGAACAATTTCAGCTCTGTCTCTCCTTAAAAGCGACCATGTTACTTAGTAGAAAATCTGCAACTGCCTTTAACAAATGCATTTGCAGCTGTCGGGTTTTTACTTAAGGATAAGTTCTTATAAAGAGTGGACCTTCACTGAAAACCCTGATCCCTTAAGTGTCAAGATGTGAGGGTTAGTATGGTATCTGGTACTTGCTTATATCTCAAGTGCTTTCTTGATAATGAGTTGCATATATATTTTTTTAATCTAGAGTTAATTAGCTCTGCTGTCCTCTTACTAGAGATTTAAATTATATGTGGGTTTGATCTGAGATATTGATCGTATGTACTATGGAATTTTTTAATGTAATGTAATACCATTTCTTCACGTTTTGATTTGTAAAATATCAGAATATAATTGCAAGGTATAAACTTTCACTAAATTATATTACAGAGGTACTTTAAGAAAAATATGTAAATTATTTAATTTAAATACTTGTTTCATACTTTATCTTGTGAAGCCTTTTGTACAGTGAGGAAAGATTTACTTTTATGGGTAAGGGTGGTGGGCCTTAAGTCAAAGGCAAGCATCTATTTATTCCTGCATGAGTTTTATTCCTATCATAAATTCTGCAACTTGTCACCGTTTGGCATTGACAGTTGGCACCAAATTGAAAATTGGATTTTCACACAGAATATAGACTTCCTTAAAGTAAGCCTGGGTTAGGATGAAATGTAACTTCTGGCTGCTTCTTTTCTGAATTCCTTAGGCAGCAATGGAAAAAAAACTTTAAAAGCTACCATCAAATGTGTCACTTTACACTGTAAATAGATCATATAAATGCATTGCTAACTAAATCCATCCTAGGGCAAAGGCATTCCTCTTCTGGTTTCCCTAACTTGCTTACAGTTTGTTTTTTTCTTTAAAGCTTCTTCAGCTTCTGAAGCCTTTTTTTCCCCTTAATCTTCTTGACTGATTGCATCAGTGTTATCTCATCAGATTCCGCCGAAGCCTTGTTTCAAAACAGAATTTCTACTGCAAGGACCTCAATTTCAGCTGGGCTGCCTGTGCCCCAGGGGTAGGCTACAGGCACAAGAGAGATTAATCTCCTTACAGGCTGGGCCTTAAGAATGAACTGGACTGCAAGAGCAGGCATAAGGTACTTAAAAGCCATTTTAAGTATTTTGGTATGTTTTCTCAGGTTGGATACACATGAGCTGTAATTGCTACTATGGAGGGGAAAAAAAGAAGAAGAAGAAGAAAAAAAAAAGCAGCACAATGCAAAAAGTTTTACGGCATTCTTCACCCCTGAAAGAGAAAAAAAAAATGGTGGCGGTAAATATTAGCCAACCAAAATAGTGGCACACGCTCCTCCTACTGCGTAGGAGTGCAGTATAAACATTCAAAATCTCTTTGGTGATGTGTAATGGGAATCGTAAGATTAGCAAAACTGCCGGGTGATTCATATGCAAGTTGCCACACAAAGAGCCATCCACATCCAGGCTTCCCTACCTCAGGCACATCTGCATGCCACAGGAAAGTTTTGCTGCCCGGTGTCGAAATTGCCTTCACGGAGACGCGGCGCCTTTGCCCCGTCGGTCCTGCAGCGCTCTTCGGAGCTGCTGGGGATGGAGCAGATCCGCTCATCTGCGCCGTTATGTCCCCGACAGTCACATAGAGAATGGGAAGAGGCTGCTTCAACGAAATCCCTCACCTCGCTCCCTGCACGGACAGCTCCCGTGGGGTGGCTGGCAGTGGGAGGCCGTGGCTTCCTCTCAGTGGCCACAGATATTTTCCTCTGGTTTTGGAAGTGGAAGAACATTTCCGGCTTCCTTAGTGACAACAAAGCTGATCTAAGTCTGAATAGTGCAGATTTTTAAAAAGAACCCCTCCTGTTGCTGTTTGACACTATCTGTGGTATCAACTTCTCAGATGAGCTGCATTTCATATCGCTCCTGATATTTCACTATACAATCACTCTGATTTTCTGTAGGAATGTAACAATTACGTCACAATGTTAGAACCCTTCATGGTGTGTTAAATTGTCTGTTATCTGCTACGACAGAAAAAAAGCACATTTTTGTTAGCATTGCCAAATCCTAGTCGGTAGAGCAAATAAGTGTTTAATTATGTCAAGATAATGATATTAAAGAAGAAAAAACAACAACAACAAAAACCCAAATCATTGTTTCCAGTCACTTTTTTTTTTTTTTAATTTATTTTTAGAGGAATTTTGGGGTGTGTTTTATTGCAAAGAGCTGGCATTTCTGGAAGGGAATAGTAAACCTGATTCCCATGGAATGTGTTTCTCAGTGAAATCCCACCCAGTGCCTCTGGGTTCCTGAGGGTCTTTCTGTCAGACCAAATGCAGACGGGATTTCCAGGAAAGAACAGCAGCCCTGGGCTCACAGGGTCTTATAGGAAAGACAAAGTCACTTACATGCATGAATGTAAAAGTTACATCTAGTGTAATGTGATGATGGCTTCTCAGATGTTACCGGCCTACCGAGATAGAATGAAAAAACTTGGAACTTTTTTACATTGTTTTTTTGTTTGTTTGTTTGTTTCCTTCTCCTTTAAAACATAAATGGTTGGATTCACTGTTTGTATAGAGACTGCTGGAAACCTCTGTGCTTTAAAAAGAAAAAAAAAAAAAGTTATCCTGCAAGATTGAATGTAAACACGATTAATTTGCAATACGTTTTTGCCTTAATGGTTTTAAAAAAAATAAAGTATTTTTAAAATGAACCTAATGACTTGTGCTGATCTTTCATTTCCAGAAAATAAGTCATGCTACTGTTGTGGTTTTGAGACTGGCAGAGTTGTTACACTCTGCTGGTGGCCTCTTGTACTTTATCCGAAGCAGCTGCCACATCTTACCTGAATCCCTTCCAATGACCATACATGCATCGATAGCTTTTAAGTACACTAAGATAGTTCTGCTCTGACCTCCTGTACAGCTTACGTCCTCACCTGGCAGCTTCTGTCAATGTGTGCAGAGTCAGAACCCGGGTGTGCAGGGCGGGTGGTGGTGATGTGCCTGCGCACCATGGCAGCCGTCACTCCTTCTGAGACAGCACCAGTGGCAGGAGTGCTCTTCTAGTTAATGAATAATTCAAACAAATTTGCCTTCATTTGATATCCAGGGCTCTGCTTCAGAAAGCACTCAGCTGCTCAACTTCACACCAGGGATAGTACTTCTACTAGTGACCAAGAGTGGATAAAGTGAGCTTTGGTAGGAATGGCTGCACTTACTGTGGGGGCTGGCAACAAATGTCTGTTTTTAAAAAGAAGTACTACATAAGCTTACTATATAACGTGTTGGTATTACAAGGGTTTTTTTAATGACAGAATACTATTTGAAGTATCTAGAACGTGTGGATGCTTGTAGATTAACTGTTAGGGATGTGTGCGTAACATACATATGCATTCTTTCCTTTGCAAACCCAGGGATTTATTGAAGTGGTAAAACAGTGCTGAAGGAAAATCACAGCAGAGTAAATAAACTTTTTTTTTTTTTTTCATCATCTGTGTGCTGGAGGATTGAGGGCCTCATTTTCAGCAGAAGAAAGTACTCAGAGAAGTTGATAAAACCCAACTGTAAAGGCTTTGTGCATCCTGTAAAGAAGGACTCACGGCTGCTCAGCTGTGGTAAGTTCAGGTATGATGACAGCATTCAATCTGTAAAATCACACATATACCAACACATTGTGATAGAGAGCATAATGCCCACGTTCAGTAGGAAATATTAGAATGCAGAATATGCAAGCAGTAACAGTCAGACACAGATAATAACTGTCATTACAGGAGGTCTCTAATCACAGGTGGGCCAGCTTTCCTTTCCTAGCACAAGGATCACAGATGACAGAAGGGCACACGGTAGGTTGAATTAGAGGAAAAACAGCTCAGAGAGCAGAGGTCCTTCCCAGCACCGTGTGGGTGCACCTCCCAGGCCTCAGGTATCTCACAGCCCAAAGGCACATTTTCATTCAGATGTGAACTGCACTCACCAGGCTTTTAAAACCTACCTTCAGGCTAAGAGTTAACATACAACCTGCTGCAAACATTGTGAAATAAAGAAAATAAAAACTTAGATAATGTTTTAGAAAGACATTTGCCTGTGTAAACATACCATAGGATCTTGTGTTAAGTAAGGAGGGGGGAGAAGCTGTGTGTAACATGAAACTGAAATTGAATAACACCAATTTTAAGCAAGATGCACATCACTTTATTTGAAAGAGTAACCTCTTATTACTGCAGGAAGGAATCTGAAATGTTGAGTTCTAACAAGTATTTTTTTAGGCAATTAAAGAGATCTATGCATTTCATTCTCAAGTGCAAGTAGAGCTTGAAAAAGGCTGTAATATATCCATGATTGCTCCTCTAGTAACTGCAAGAAATTCTACTCTCCAACAGCAGAAACCAATACATGAGGTTCAGTAAAAAACACAGTGAAAGATTCCAGGACATTAGAAAGTCTTAAATAACATAAAATAACTCATCAAAATTATGTTGATTTCTTCTAGCAGATACATTAGGAGGCTGATCCTCCTAAAAGTACTGCGTAAGTATAAAACAAATGATAAAGCTGAAAGAGTAGAGAAAAGGAGCAATGTTAACCGAGGCATTGATACTGGTTCTGAACCAGTGACCAAAAAAGCATGAATAAAAAATAAATAAAATATTTTTAATAATAAAATAAAAGCATGAATGCGGAGATTATGGAGCACTCTGGACATATCCTCAAGGTGTGTGACTGATTGACTATATTAGCATATAAATCTTCGTTGTAATTAAGGCAAAGTCAACACAGACATTCATGATGCCAATATACAGACTAAAGAAATTGCTTTTTCTCCTAGCAATTTTTTATATATATATTTTTTACTAAAACTATGTTTCTCAAATCCTGATTGTTCAATTGCCCGCTTCAGAAAATAATTGACTTCAGTAGCTGGATTTCCATATTAAACTAGACAAAGTAACCTCTTCTATCACTGTGCAGAGAAGGACTGGAAAGCTGAGTGCAAAGTGACTGCAGATTTGTATCCTTTAAAAATTATTATTTTAAAAAATTTAAATGTTGCCATTATAAAAGCATGTACTTTCTGTGATAGTACTGATACAGGAATTTTGAATTTAGATATTTCTGTGGCTATCTATGACGTTTTGTCCCACCAGTTTCATTTTGGACCTAAAAATAAAGCTCTGACTTCCTTCCTCACTGTAATCTTACCAAGCTAACAATGGCAGGTTAACAATTGCTACTTACATTCTTGGAGGTATAGTGAATTCAGTCAGATAAATCTCTCAGATTTTTCATAACACTGTAGGATTATCAAGAACCATACAAAACATTAAAACAGCAAATGGGAAACTGGGATACAGTTCCTATGCTTTAACGCTGTTCGGTTTTTTACTACATGCATTTGATCAGGCAACAAACAGGCCTTTCTGACATTCCTTCTGCTTTTCCAGCACCCTAAGGCCATTCTGCTGGTGCTGCAATTGCTGCACGGTGATGCTTGAAGCCAAGCCAGTGGGAAATGTGTAGCTGTGTTCTGTAGCAGTGAGTTAATGAAGGTCACTACTTCAAAAGGAGCAACATGATAGTCTTAAAAAGGAGAGAGGAGAAAGCTCAGCCGAAGAACTGTCTCTCTTTCTTGGTCTTTCAGTATTTATGTTCTTGAATCCATTTTTTTCTTAGACTTTGACTGGGGCTTCCTTTTATCCATATCTTCTTGTATTTCCAAAGGAAAAGCCTGTAAGTTTTCATTCACACAGGGGAGGCAGAACCTTTTAGTGTAGAACAGACTACATTCCTGTAAAGAAAACAGTATTAGCTGGATACACAAAATGGAACTGCTTAAGTTCCACTCTCATTAAACCACATTTATATGTAGAATCTTCATTCTGAATTAAATTATTCTTCTATATTAAAATACTCCAGCAATTTTGCTTCTTCTATTCAGTAATTCTAACATCTCTTACTTGAGGTACTGAGTGAAAAATAAAAACTGGACTGTAACAAAAGCTAACCAAATAAACAATTATTTTAAAGAACTAAAGAACAATTATTTTAAAGAGCTTCATCAGCTCAGTGCTAAACAGTTACCAATCTCCTTGCAGTTCGCATTTTCCTTCAAGAATCATTCCTCGTGTGATCACTAAATTATAAACAAGGTGTAATGGGTAAGCCAAGCTGCTGTTGCTGATGGATTATTCCTGAAGAGTTAAACAGGAATGAAGACATCAGACAGATCAGAACATCTTTCTGGGAGTAACAGATTCTGTGGGTTTCACCTAAACAGCAAAGTTCTCTATTGCTAAATCTTCATTTATCTTCCCAAGATTTCTCCCTGCTGGGAAGATCTTTCCACTTCCTGAACTGGCATTTGAGATCTGAAGTTTCAGAAAGCTCTTCTTGCCAATTTGGAGAATTGCAGAAGGGCAAAGTCAAGCACAAAGAATGTAGGTCAGAAACAGTAAGCCCTGAGACTTCAGTTGCATATTTTTCCACAACTACCTGAAAACTTGTCTTTGTAATTTGCATGTTTGCATAGTCCTAGGAGAATACTTAAAGTATATTATATGAATATCACAGAGATGTCAAGTAATCAGAATAGCTAACTGAATTTAATTCAGCTGAGACAATTCAACTGAGATTTCATCCTTTAACCAAGATTTCACCCATTAACCTTTTTTACCTTGAATAAACGTACTCGCTGATTAAAAACCAAAACCATGCATCGTACTAAAGGTTGACTGGACATCCCTTGCTGCAGTTACTGAAGGCAAAGTATTAGAATCTGTTGTGCTCAAAGACGTTTTCCTGCCCTTGAAATGGAATGGCTCTGTGATCTGACATAGTTCACATCTAATTTAGTTAAAGAGTGTTACAGACCCCATATTTATTTTCCACACAGTTAGCTCTAACCAGATGCTAGAATTATTGAATGGGAAGAAGGGAAATTGCTGGAATATTTGCAGTGCAGAGTTCAGACAACTGGAGGAGAAGCTTATTGAAGTGTTACTCTTTTGCCCTGCAGTGAGACTGAAGTTCTTGGTTCTCCAGGCGTGCTGATCACTAAATTCCAAACAGGATTTAATAAGTAAGCTAGAGCGGTGTTACTGATGGATTATTCTTGGGGATTTAAGCATGAATAAAGACATCAGTTCAGACGGATCAGGACATCTTTCCGGGTGCAGTAGATTTCAAGGGTTTTGCTATTCAGGCAAAGTTTTCCTCTTGCCACGATGGTTTGTGGCTGGCCTTTCTCTAAGAACTTGGTTTGGATACTTGTGCATTTCTGTTGTCACTTTTGTTTCCCTTGTCACTCACCTTCCGCACTTCAACAGTAGGTACCACTCGATTATATCAAAATTACAGTCTCCTTGCCTCTGTGTGACAAATTCTCTTCATCTATTGTCCTTTTCTGCACCAGTTGTCACGCTTTTTCACATTTAGAGTTGTGTGAGGCCCTCTGAAAAGCCCTCTGAAAAGCCCCCTGCATGGTCTCACAGCCTATTGTTTTTTGACCTTTGATATCCTTAATACATTAAGCTGCCAGTTAAAAAGGGAGGATTAGAGTGTAAGTTGGCCCTGCTATTGTTGCTTGTATTACAATATGGCACACAGCTCCCCAGGCCCTCAGGTTAACTTCATGGCTCCATAGGGATGGCCACTGCACCTAAGGATACTGCTCAGCAGTGGCAAAGGCAGGAGAGGCTTTTGCCCCACTCTGCAGATGAGAAACTCAGATGTTAAGACCAAGCTCCTCACAGACATACAGGTGCTCAATTTGCATTCTTTTAGCTGAAATGAGTTGACAGCTTCTGCTGATTTCTACTTATGGGGCTTACACCGAATCATGCCTATGAACCACACGCATCCGGATTGCGGGTACACACACCTTTACAGAATCACAGAATGGCCAGGGTTGGAAGGGACCACAAGGATCATGAATCTCCAACCCCCCTGTCACATGCAGGGCCACCAACCTCCACATTTAATGCTAGGCGAGGCTGCCCAGGGTCCCATCCAATCCAGCCTTGAACACCTCCAGGGACGGAGTCCTCAGACTCCTCTCTCAGTCACGGGATAACATAGCCTACCTGCTACAAATTACATTCATTGTGTATATCCAAGCCCTCCTTTGATCACTGTCCTGACAGGACTCCATCCTTAACTAGACAATTCTTTAACTCCTTAGTATGTTTTACCACAACCACAGTCAAGTCAGGAGGGGGCATTTTCATTCAGTTCAGGCAAAACTGAGCTGTCAAAGCTAACTGACAGAGTTTATTTCTCTTCTCACATGGATTGTGTCAAAAAATATAGATAACGACATTATTTTTAGCACACTTATGAAGGAAACCCTATGTAAAGGAAAGAGTCTGCCTAACCTTCTTCAGGACTGACCCTGCATGACTGAAAATTGAGTGGAAAGCAGTTGTAGTGTTATGTTTATCACTTAATACCTACAATCATGTCCAAGGTCACTGTCTACTCAGCTCCTGCTACAGTGAGCAGTAACAGATGAAAATTGCTCCCTTTCATCATTTCTTCTTTAAAAGTAGCTTCTTATAAGTGTTTAAAACCTATTTTTAGTAAGTGTTGCAATAAAAGGAAATGCCTGCTTTAAATGACTAACTTGATCACATTACATCATTTCCTCTCCCCTTTAATGAAAAAGAAACAGGAAAAAGGAACTAAGTCTTTCTAAAGACTTTAAAAATATTTTTATTATCCTACTTTTTGCAGTGTTTTGGTGTTTTTTTTGGCATGTTTTAAAACAATCATTAGAATTACTTCCATTTGTACCAAACTTATTTATCAATAATGTGCTAAAGACTGGTTCAGTAGAGTGAGTACAATGTAAGTTGACTGTAAAATAACTTAGTGAGACTTTAGAGACTATCTGAAGACGTGAGTTTATGAACATCGTATCGAACATAAATCTTGACTTCCCCTGGCACAGCAGCTGTAAAGACACTTCCACTAGTGCAGGGTGTCTCAAAAAAAGCCTAAAATCTCATTCTAAGATACAAAAGCTAGCAAATTAAATCCAATCCCTTTGCTAAACCTAGGATCAGACAAGTCTTTATTTTTACTACGCGTTAGTCTAGTACTATATTTTAAGTTAACAGAGAAATGTTAACTCAACCTGTCACAGACAGCTTTCCACCATATTGCTCCAGCCTCTTTGCCAACGAGGACCAAGAAAATATGATTTTCTTACTTTCAATTCCTATGTTATAACATCATGGAAACAGCATAAGGCTCAGTTGATGTAGTTGGGTCAAGCAATAGCAGGAACCAGAAACAACCCACAGAGATATTATCCTAACTATAGCTCTCTCTATTGCCTTGGATAAATTTTTACCTCTCTACACTCTAATCTTCCCTACATGAAAGAGAAATAGTATGTATTTACCTACTTTGGTGTGGGTGTTTAAAGCAGTAATTATCATTTCTGCAGATCTCTTTCAATGTTACCTAAGCAGCATTGCTAAATAGATTTGGAAACCATAGTTATATGCATGATTCACTATCTGGCCTGGCCAGTTTGGTAAGGAATTTATTTTCAATAATTTATGATTATGATTTTGCTTTGAGTGATACCATTAGGGGAATAATGAAGTCTCAGGTAACAAAAAGTAAATGCCTGACATATTTACACAACAGCTAAAATAGACACAAGAAGTGTTAAAAGATACAAGAAGTTTTAAAAGAGGCTTTTACTATTCATTGCTAATGTCTTCTATGCTGTCACACTCTAGATTATCTGAAACTGTTATTAAACATTTTAAAATAAAAAAACACACCCACATGCAGAAGAGGAAGACTGCATGGCAGGACACTGAGAGGCTGTACCTCAATATTTCTGATAGATTTGATTGCCACACTTGAAAATATCTGTTGAATCCTTCATAAGTTCAACACACTTGAATTGTGAATGCAAATAGCAAAAAGAGCTCAAGTTTGCCCAAAGTGTGCCTGAGTTACTAATCCTGTGCAATTACATAGGAGGGGTAAACCTGACTTGTTAGGGCAAGAATCAAGCTCATTACCCCTAACTATGTGATCTGCACTTGCCCATATGCTTGCTATTACTTTGGCTGTTTGTGTGTGAGTGAGGCAACCACCAGCCCAGACAGGGACATTCACTGCCACAAGGAAGACCTTGCTCACATGTCAGCTTTACCTCCACACTGTGTACATGCACACAACTGCCTTAAGCTACTTGTCTCCAGAAACTTGAGTTCAGCACTCGGGCTTCATCTGATTCCCATAGGAATTCTCAGGTAGTTCTAAAAAGAAAAACAAATCCCAGTTGCAAATGCTAATCTGATCTTTTTGTGATTTTCTTTCATTGACATGACAGAAGAGACTTCAGAAATGGTACACAAACATAATCAGGAGAAAAGTGCTAATTTCACACTCCTCTTAGAGCAGTGTAATAAATTCATGCTCAGTAATAATTCCCTGCAAATCAGAATAACGCTTAAACTTGTCCAAGAGTCTCAGCTGTGTTTCTCCCTCCAAATTCTGTGAACATAATTTGACCTTTATTTTTAAACTCAGAAGAATTTCCTCAGTTCCAACACCTAAATTGTCTGGCATTGGCATATGAGCTGTCTCAGCTGCCCATATTATCTCACTTCCTGCTCTGAGTATGCCAACAGCATTGCTCTGTCCTACCAAAAAATGGCCACCAAACATGAGAAAAAAATTCCACACCTTTACGAAGTGCATGTCTTTCATTTTTTTCTTTTCATTTGGCTGTTTGTTTTTAAACTCATACTACTAGCTACTTTTGGAAAGAGTCATGTCTCTGAAGCTAGTCCCTACAAAGAGCAAACAAAGAAAGGGCTGAAAAGGCTGAATTTGAAAACTGCTAAAGCTGACACTTAAGATTAAGGTGTGCTCAGATACATGCCATTAGCTGCACTCCAGATTTAAGCACACTGATCTGAGATAAGGAATGACCACTTTGAAAGAAAGGCCAGGATTTGGCTGCTCTCAGGGCAGTGGCATCTGGTTGAACAAATACATGCTGTAGTCCATTTAAATGATCAGGTGACATTGCCTCCTGGGCTGACTCATCCATGCATCCTGACCACTCCATGAGTTCCAAGTCTCTTTCAGACACAAAACTGACACGCTGAGGGAAAGGAGTAGAACCTGACTTTTCTCATTAATTGTACTGCCTTAAAGAAGCACAGTACAGCCTCCAGACAGTGATAACTGTGTAATAACTGTCTTCATTTTTGCTTTGAACTCACAGCAAACAAAGGGACCAGCCCAGCACCAAGGAGAAGTTATTAAGACAACTGAAATTTTATACCACTTTTCTGGACTGCGATCAGATTTCATAGCTTAAAGTTGGTGCTGGCTGCTATTCAAATTCGTTCTTCTTTAGAGAGCTATCACAGCACTGCACAACTCTCCTCTCTGTTTAATTTCTACATGAGCTCTTGCAAATACAACGGTGAGCTTGCGTTGCAGATGCAAACCTATGGTTGTTCATATCCTCTGTACAGGAAAAATCTACCACTGTTACAATACTATAAGAAGAAACCTAAAGATCTTGAAGTAGTATGTGAACTCCCCTGCATTTGCACGTGCTGAGAAATTAGAAAAGAGTCTTCACTACGTTTGAGAGGATGGAGTGTGCTCCTCAGTAAATAGCACATAAAGTTGCTGATTGTTTCCATTTATTAGCTTTACCACAGGGTAATCAACAACAACATGCAGTTAGCCAGTCTTAAAAATAAGATGTTTGGGTTTTTGATGTGTGGTCCTGGACTGGAACAAAAAGAAATGACTGAAGAAGTTTGTTTTGTTTGTTACTTACTGCACCAACACACACACTTCTTCTACACAAACTGCACAGAGACCCAAGGATGAGGAATTTCTCTTTGTCGGGGGTGAAAGGGTCCTTCATGACATAACTGTCTTCCAAAATCCTGTAAGAGAATAATTTCAGACTTTTAAAGGTAAATCTCACAGTATGGGAAGGGTTCAAACAGGGTAATTGGGGAGGCTGAAAGGGTGGCAGTCTTCCCTCTGGTGTTGCATGATGCAATGCAGCAGCTATGCAGCTCCCTTCTTCAAAACCAGCATTGTGACTGCTTGCTGCCAACAATACTCCACTATCTAGCTTTCAAGATTAGGGCAATTGATGATAATCTCAACATTGTCTTATTAGGCATTTTTTCAGTGCTTTGCTTTCAAGTATTCCTTACGGTCTGCTTTCATGACAGGCACTCTTTCACACAGCCAGTTTTAGTACTTTCTCAAGTTATTACCTCAACTGCACAACTTTAAGTAGGATTTCTCTTCCAAAGCTGCATACACCAAATATAAAATAAAAAGAGCCTGCTCTTAATTATGTCCATGCTGTAAAGCTATAGTTCTCACCACTTGCAAGCAGGAGCTGATAGCACAAAGCATTACAATGATCCAATATATTCTTCCTTTGTGTCAGAGACTGTAGTTTTCAGAGAGTACATTTGTTAATAATTTGCATCAGAGAAACATTTATTAATAATTTGCATTTATTAATAAATTGGCAACCTGCTTGGGGAAGATAAAGCCTTATTCTTCCTGGGAGCTCTAGGCAAAACAGTGCAGAAGTCAGTTTGGTGTCTGTCTGCACAGGGCACCCTGCAAGGCTGGCTTATTTCTGCATATAAATCAATCTTGAATTCTGTAGTAATATGGAGTATAATACATATTTAAAAGATACTGTTAATTCATACTATCATCTTTTAATTGACTGCATATAGACACATGTATGTACATGAGCATCTGTAGGTGCATTCCTTTTTCCCCCTCGCTCATAAAGAGGCATGGCTTACGCCTTTCACCCTTTCATTGTTAGCAAGAAGCAGGCATCTTTACATGGCAGATCAACTCCTTAACAAGTCTTCCAGTGTTTAAACACTGGATTATCTTTGCAAAGCTTCCTTTGCAAGATTTTTAAGCTTGATGTAGTCATCATCAGCATAGATTCCGGGCCATTGTACAAACATTGTTTGGCATATAGTTCCTGCATTTAGAACTAGTGAGTAGACAAGAAAATAAATCACTAAAGACAGTACGCAAAGCTATTTTTTAGGCACATACAGAAGTGTTATGCTACATCGTTATTCTTTTGCTGTTTGAATCTCAACAATTCAATTACAGTCTAGATGTTAAAACCAAGCTTGGATAACCTAGCATTAAGATTTACACTCAGCTTTAATCCAGACTCTTTACAAAAGTATGTGATCAAAGGAGGTCCATTCCTCTTCTGAGTGGACAAAGGAAAAATTAATAGCACTGTGGGATTTGGAATGATAAAAATACAGCTGTCTAAGGAAAACAAATCTAATCTCAGCTGAAGTAGGTGGCAATCAACAGCTGCCTCAACTTTATAAGAAACAGAGTGGTCTTAGAAGGGTGAAACACAGAGTATACACCTGATTTCCTGTTCATTCCTGAATATGTTTGCCTGATGGATTTGTTAACCAGGATGACCTCAAAAGAACTGCTCACACATTTAAAGCTAAGTGCTTTGTTTTGTGGTAAATATGATGTCTGCAGACAAAGCACTAATTTCATTGTTTCTGGTCAAACTATCCCTGCTTGGCAGACAGAAAAGGCTTAAGTCTTCTAAAAAGTAAATATGTACTAAATTGCCACACACTTTAATGCCCAAAAACTGTCTAGTGCCAAAAAAGCACTGCTGTTCAAAACTCCACATGTCAAACAGTTCTTAAAAAGTGTATTTACCATACATACGAGATTCATGCTGTGTTTACGTGCTGCCCAGCTGACAGAGCTGTGAGGTATAGGCTATTCCCAGAAAGGTTGTGCTGATAGTCAATACTATTCTAGTAAGAAAATTATGGTAAATTGTAGGGTGGCCACTAAGTTAGGAAATATGCAAAATACAAGTCTGTCCACAGTACTGAAGCAGGATAGGAAAGCTGATTTTTGTTTTCGCTATCAACATTGACACTTGAAAAAATTTCTTTCCTGCGTAAAAAGAAAATCACTATGTACCAAACCTAAGATTCATGGTCAATATGGCACATAACTGGGTTAAATCAGCAAACATTATTCTGCAGCACAAGGTTTCCAATGCCGAGAGCATAAATGAAGTCTGTAAAACATGAAAAACTATACTTACACAATAGAGTGTGTGTTGGGTGGCTTCTGCCCATAGTATGTGTATGGAGCTGTTAAGCCACATAGCTGACACTTGAACTCTCCTGTAGGCGCAGGTTCTTTGGGAGAATCCATCTTTAAGCTATTAACAAAAAAAGCAAAAATATTTTAGCTCCAAAATGCAGTTATGGGAGCATGCCTGCAAGAAGATTAAAGCATGAAACATCCAGCACTGCAAACTAAATTCCAATGGAAAACTGGCTACTGCAAATCTTAACTAGTAAACATTTTCTCCCAAAACAAGTTATTTTCCCATGTCCCAGTTAAGTTTCCAAATTTCTTAGATAGGAGTCTAAAAAGAAAAATTTGCCTACTAATTTAGAACCTGATCCATGAAAGAGTTTAGGTAGCAAGGTATACGACTGAGTCCTATGCTCCTTTAGTGCCTCTCAGGCCATGACCTTCCATAGGCTGTGCAGAATCCCAGTTCAGTTCTGCAATGCTCATCTCATCCCATCAACTACAAATGGAGTCTTTGAAAAGGCTTGGGACCTCCACTGATGAGGCAGGTATGAGAAAGGTGCGTGCTGCAAAGATTTACTGTGCCTTTTTTCCTTGCATCTGGTTCACCTCCTCATAGTTTTGGGATCTTAATACTGACTCCCTGTTCTTATCTGGCTCCTTATGGAAACAAGGCTAATGTAATCATGCCTTGTGTAGAGAGAGTGTTGGCCCATTCAAACCACAGGAAGGAGGAGCGGGTCCCATCAAAAACGTTTATGTTCTACACCTTTTAAGAAAACTGGCAGAAAAGGGAAAGGAGACTGTTTTATCTTTACTCAGAATACCTGTGTATTTCTAATAATGAGAGAACCTGCATACAGGAAAGCTATTGTCCATCTTTCTGAAAGGCTTCAGTCACCCGTTACAAAGACATAGCTATCAACTCCAAGACAGAAAATAAAATGTGGTGTGCTCCGTCAGCTCCAGTGCTTACAATACTATTTGTTTAAACTTTTGGCCATGGATTTCCATTTGGGAGCTTATTCTACACTGGTATCACTTTACTTGAGAGTCACAAGCTGCAGTTTTCAAAAAGCACAGTGCAGCAAGTATTCTTTCAGGACTGATTTTTATGTGTAGGCATGATCAGATCAAACACAGCTAACAACATGCGTGCCCAAAACTTGCCTCAGTCTACGAATATAATGTAATCACTTGTTTACAGTTCAGGAATCCTTGCTCACCTGCACCATTTTCCTGAATGGACACTTTTACTCTGCAGCTGGCAAGACAACTTGAACTTTTAATTAAAGTCTTCCCACTTTGCACGGCATGCAGTTTTCATCTGTAAACGTGTCAGCTTTTTTAAGTGAACCAGAGCTGGCATCAAGTAGTTCAGAAGGTGGACACTAGGAACTCAGATTTGGAAAGTATGTCAGCTGTCATCCAGCTCCCTTCTGCCAAAGGACAGCAGGTCATCCCCTACTCTCTTAGCTTGCCATCTGCACCCTTCCCCTGCAGAGCTGATTCAATTCACTAAGGCCATGTCTCTGTTTCAGCTGAGGATAGGGGTATGCTTTGGAAACTAATTGTGTAACTGTCTCCGCTTACCACGCTTGGTTGGCATCATGGAGCAGTCTGAAAGCCCACAAGCCAGAGTTTCCGATAAAACTCAACTGAAAGATGTTCCAGAAGCATATTAAGTATCTTAATACACTCCAATCCGAATGTCCAACTAAAGGGCATTCAGTCTACAGGATAGGACTACAGAGAGTCGGAAATACCCTGATGCATGCAGAGTGGGGATCCAGTAGCTGGCATCATGGGTTCATGGCTTTGCTCTTTTTGCATCATACTATTTACTACTAGCTACCTATGTAGTCAAAAGAACTACTTTTTTTTTTTTTTTTTTTTCCCTTATTGCTTTTGTGAGCTAAACTGGCTTGCAGAGGAATCCAACAAGTGCTAACAGCAGTAGATGGTAAGAAGCAAACCACAGAGCTAGAAAGGGAGGGCTGAGATGAGGGACGTGGATTTTCCCTTTTCAGTGACAGTAAGCTGCTATTTCTGCTCACCCTGTGTGGTGAAACTGAATCCTTAGAGACACATGGCACTAAGGGGAATTGCGGGCAAGGTGAAGCAGGGCTGTGACTACTTGACAGCTAATATTCCAGAAGAACAAGGAGCCCCAAGATCCTCAAATGGTTACAAGGCCTCATTGACAGACATTCAGTCCATAAATTCGTGCTCTGTTACACTGTGAAATTTAACTTTGGGAATAATCACCCTTACCATTTAATTCCTGCAACCACCACCAATTCCTGGCATTTCAGGGGTACGAGTTCTTCAAACGTAACACAAATGGGTCTGGGTACTGATTTAATAAATAAATGCAACTCTTAAATACCTTAGGCAACTACATTTTCTGGAAAGTGATGTAAACCTTGGATATTATGCATTTTACCTTGCCCACAGGGATGTGGAGGAAATTTAATTAACTGAAGTGCTTTCAGATTTTCCAGTTAGATATAAAGCACATATGTGCTATATATTTCTCCCTGAATATTAAAATCTGGATTCTTCAAACTATACACAAACTCAAGTAAGAAGTCTGCTTTTTGAATCTCGCATTTTAGGTTTAACATATAAGACCCCCCAAACACACTGGAAGTTAGCAGTTGGTAGCAATACCAAGACACTCACCTGTCTGAATGAAATTCAGTCTAGGAAACTGCATGCAATTTTCAGTCATCTTTTTTTTTTTTTTTTTTAAACCAGGGGAAATAATTAACCCCATAGGGTATGGAAAGTCACTTGAATTAAAATAGACAACATAATCACAGTGATCCTTTCATTAAAACAAAGCAAAACACCAATTTAAATACAAAAAACAAACAAACAAACAAACAAACAAACAAAAACCAATGTAAAACAAAGATATTTATGGCAGTGGGGATCACACACTTTGGAATGAATGTGTCCTTATTCCAAGTCAGACCAACAGCCCAGGCTTCAGAGATGAAGTGTATTGGATACAGGGACACCAGCTCTCTTATAAACCTCTGGAATGTAGAACAGAATCTGTTCACCGACTACCACTGGGAAGGAATGATATCTACGTACAAACAGATTTTTGGCTATGCCAGTTGAAAAACATATGATCCTGCCTGCAAGGCACGGGTGAACTCACAATGCTTTCCATTTTAATCCAGGCTTATACGTCACTAGATCAGCTGTACCAAGTTTTACTTCATTGGAAACAGCATTTGTTCCAAGAGCTTGTCTACACAGTAGCATTTAGGAAAGTTAGCTGACAGTGCAAAGTTCACACACGTACAGATTTCAGGACCAATGCTCCCATTCATAAGTAAAGTCTGTTACATAAAAAAGCAAGGTTGTCATCCTTCTGCAAAAAAAAATGTAATGACAGGTGTAATAAACTTCTAGTTTATGCATGTGCTTCACACCTTCAGTCTAAACCACCAAACACATGCATCCTACTCTCACACAAAACTTCTAGTACTTCCAAAAAGCTCATCTGCAACTAAAGAACCTTATTTTCATCTCAGATAACAAAGGCACATAAGCATTTCTGGGATAGACAGACGATCACAGACTCCAAGCTCATTGCTTTGGTTTTATACACAATCTTAGCAAGATGTCCAATACGAAAACTACAACAAAGTATCTGCCTCTCCTCCAAGCAGGTGTACAAAGTAAGTGAGGACTAGTTCCTCTCCAGCATACCAACTACAGGATGAAGGATCTCTGGAGGAAGTTAAAAGCCAAAGAGATTAATCTTTTTACCACAATGACAGGCAAATCTGTGACCCTGAGCAACTCAAATCATCAGCAGTACTAACATTGGGCATTTCTCTTTTCTCTGGCACCTTTCTCTTTCTCTTTTAAGCTCCACACCCTAGTAACATGCCAAATGTTCTGGGTGGGATGTAATGAAGAAATCTTTAAGAACACCTTGTTTAGAACTAAATTCTGCATTTGTCATCTTGGCTGTAAGCCCCAAGGCACTTTAACACATACTTACTTTAAGCACATGCATAGTTCTTCTGTAAAGAACAGTTCTGCTACCCACAGGTTTGATTACGAAGCAAACACTGAACAAGCATGCTCAGCAGAAACCTGCCAAGTCAAGCCCAGAATGCTGCAGGACAGATGTGAGGTTGGCCCACGTGTCATGGTGAAAGGCAAAGCACAGACTTGAATGTCATGTTGAAGAAATAACTGCATTAAAAGAAAGGAGCAAGTTAGATAGCATTGCTCTGAAAGTGTTTCTCCATGCTGTGACTGATACATGATACGGATGGAGGAAATGGCTTTCAGTGCAGTTCTCTAGGGACTCCTAAAAACTTCAGGGTTGTTCTGCTTGGAGCATTCTGCTAACAGGTCTGGAAGGCATGCCAGAAATAATAAATCACCACTAAACTGTCAGGGTCAGTGGCAAAGCAGTGACACAGATAAGTAATCTGATTTTCTCCGCTTGGAACCTTGTTAGTACAAGTCTTAACAATGTATAGGTTAAAGCCCCTCTTAATATTACACAAGACTCGTGTATTTCTAAACTACCAATAAACTAAAGAAACTATACAAGAAACAACCTGCTTACAAACAGATAGACTTTGATTTGAAAGAGCATCAGATAAAACCAACACTGACACACCTTTAATCCTCTCCAATTACAGCCATTTCTTTCTCCTGCCAAGATATTCCTGCTCTATTCAGTGATCATGATGATTACACATTAAAATATTCACAGCTTGATTCTCTGTGGAAAGAAATGCTCTTTATTGGAAGGCTAGGAGCATAGCCTAGTAAACATCAAGTTATTCTGCAGTATTTGGTGTGGAATAAGTTTAAACACACTTCAACATCAGGAACGTACTCACCACTTTCAGAAAAAGAATCCACTGCCTCACTACTCAGCTAGTAAATAAAATAGCAGAACCTTCCTCCGGCTCACTAATCCCAGATGAGCAGCTCTCTCTCCCTCCAATTTCTTTGTGCTACTGCCCTGAAGGCACACTTAGGTCTCTTGCTGGCCTGCCTCCCTGCTCTTTCTTTGAGCTGACTTACCTTGGATTCACTGCAAAGAATTAGTCTAGAAATGCAGTTTAGCTAAGTGTGGCCATTCGGAACTTTTATCTTTATTACCTTGCACAAAGATCACTTGACTGAATTAAACTTGACTTGTTGCAGCAACTTCTCACTTCAGCTGGGTGCTGGTATTGCTCTCTCTGCTCAGAAGGAACTGAGATCACAGCAGGACACAGGCTTCCCTCAAGGTACAGGTCACATAGCAGGCCCCAAGTGCTGCTTTTTAATGACAACTAGTGGGAGTCCCCATGGCAGCAGGACAAACAGCCCTGCCAGGGGTTATCCCATGGGGCCAGCCCTGGAGGCGGACGCAGAAGAGAAAGTGAGCATGTTTTCTGAGCACCTGGAGGGAAATGTTTAAGTAGGGTGTGCCAGACAAAATACTGCAGCAGAGCAACATAGATCTTCTGAAAAACAAAAACTTTCCTAATGTAAAAAGGTTTTCCAGACACAAGATGAATCTCAAAAGGACACCTGTTAACACGGCATTTAACAACGCCGTGAAACAAACAAACAAAAAAACCCAACACCCTAGCACAACCACTCCTTACTTGACTATGGCAGCCAGCCAGCTCTGAATTAGACAGCACTTAGTAAAGAATTTCAAATTTGGTGAGAATTTAACAGCTTCACGCAAGAACGCTGCAACAAGGCGTTGATTAACAGGCACATACTTCTGCCCCCCGGTGGAAATGTCGGAGCAGCACAGCTCTGGCCGTAGTGTTTATTCGTAGCTGCTGAGATTTCCTGCTTCAGTAACTCAGCTGTTAGGAGAGCCTCGGTTGTAAAAGACCAGCTATGTGGATCGCGCAAGCGTGAATTAATGCATACCACAAAAGCAGGTTGCCCAGGTATGCACGGCAGGCCATTAGGGCCCATGTCTGAGGCCATTTCCATGTCTGCCTGCAGAAGCACAGTGAATGATGGATATCTGTCATGCCACTGAACAATGCTGACACATTGGATCTTCCTTTCCACCCACCCCAAAATTAATCTATCGTCTTTCCTGGTTTTTTGGTGTTTGTTTGTTTGTTTCCTCCATCTCCCTCATTACTCTTCCTTCTTCTGCTCTTCAACAGGTTTTTCTACGTAGAGCACAATGTTTATTACATTGTGATTATCACCCACCCTAATTATTCTATAGGAAAAA